AAATATTTATCTATTTTAATCTAAGTATGTACATGTTTGCGACTACTTAAAATGTAATTTTTTACACATATTCTCATAAGCAAAAGTTTGTTTTGACCTTAAGGCCGATAGGAAATAAAGTGCAAACATGTATATTACAAGTTGGAAATTTTCGTTCAAGTATTAAACGAAATATTGAACGAAATATTTATAATAATAGTTCATAAAACTTAAATTCTGGTACGTTTTTAGGCAATAATACTAGTTATAGTAACAAACAAACGTTGTGGTACATAAGGGTATTTTTTATAGTTTAAATAAATTCGTAAAACAAGACATAATTAAAACACCTCTCCCCACGCACAAATGTCAAATATTGAAATGTGAGGCCAAAGAAAATAGGTCAGGTTCTTGTTTCCAACCCATAACAGAACATCTCTTTAGTTAATATATTTATCATAAACATACATTATATTTTTATTGTAATGAAAGGATTTCGAGAAAATCTGAGGGAAAAAAAACAATTAAAGTCTAGGGTCGAAAGTTAAAAAACGGTAAGTAGGGAGACCTGAAACAGAACTCTCTCTTGTGGCCTGACAGACGCATCAAGTAAGACCTCATTGTAATTTGATCAGAAAACATTCACTCCAGTCTTGAGTATTTCAACATATGTATTTGTGTCAGAAAACCCTAGAATTCTTATAAACACAGGCCAACTCATGGATTTTTAATGTTAAACTGTCATTTTCACAATAACTGACCATTTTGGCAGATTCTATTCACTAAGAAGAATTATGAATTAATGGTCACTATGGCAATAAGAGTCAACACTGATGACGTCACAGCTACCACAGAGAACACTTTGGTTGATCTGGATTCATATAGCTTCCAACTTTACAATTAAATGCCTCAGAAAACCCGTGCGAATTTCTCAACTCTCCTAGTACCCTGAAAATTGAAAATAATACCAGATTATTCTAATATCCCTATATTACAACAAATGCCTGTTACTTGTTAATAAAGGGTGTTATCCAGTTGTGCAAAATAAAATAATTTTTAGTTTTTGCCATGAACATTTTGCCGTAGAGAAAAACACAATGAATTGAAGACGAAGAAAGCGACACTAAATTGTGGCGTGTTGTTGCAAAGGGAAGGAACTCAAATAATACAAGAACGCAATAGTGTTCTACAGAACAACTGTGCATAATTTTGTCTTACTGCACTTTAATTCACACTGTAAATAACTCTATACAAGTGAGATAAGAAAGCTATGATGACCCTTGTCATTTATGCAACTATTTACATAATTTTAAAGAGCTATAACTTCCGGTGGCGTATTATGGCAAAGGGAGACAACATAAAGAGTACACAAGAACGCTATCATGTTCTACAGAACTGACAATATTTACCTGAACATTGGTAGACTATGAACACTAGTCAGAACACTTCTCCTGGCAGCTTCATCTGTGAACTTCGAACACCACAACTATCAAATAAAGAAAAGATTACTTTTAAAGATATCTTAGAAGCGGCAACAAATAAATGTCCACCGACTTTTCATAATATTTGCATTAAATTTTTGGGACATGTTCACTTAATAAAATAAAAAAGTACGTATATAAAGTATAACTTTTTTTCATGAACCGGTTGGATTTCTTGAAAACACAACACGCATTTAGCACGAATGTTTTTAAACATTTTCAAATAGCACACATTAAAATTTAATTTCAAATGTAATAGTTGTTACATATCAACATCTAGATTAATGTTCTTTGCAATAAAGTATATGAACTTACACTTTGAAATATGTATATGTTATATATTCCGCGAATAACAGTTTTCTTTATATCAAAGTTTATTCAAGTTTTTTTTTTAGATTCTATTTATTTGAACTCTAAAGCTTTATCTCCCTATTTGAACGTGTACAAAACAACATTAGACAACATACCTGTGCCGTGTTGATAAAGAACAATTGTTCATCGGAATATTTTGAAAGACCTGGTAGGCGTTTGTCGTTATTGTTGTTCTCCTTCAACCATAATTTGTAGGCCTGTAAGAAAAATTCCTTCCAGTTTTCTTTGTGGTTTTTTTTTTTACATTTTATCTTACTTAAGTATAAAATAACATTTGCTAAGTCTATCCTTAAATACCGGAATAATTTACAAAGATAAGTTGCAGTGATAGTTGAAGGCAGTATTTGTATGATTTATTATCTCAATTAAACACAATGTCATATTAAAATGTTGTATTATGTTGAAGCCGGTGCTACAGGGCGTTGACAGGTCATTGTTCTTACCACTACTCTCATTGATAAGCTTTATTTGTCTGTAAAACTTTTGATTTATTTATTTTTGCTGTTGTGAAACGTTTCAAGTGTCCATGTTGTCTATTTTAGTCATAATCAGCAATTACAATACAAAATAATGTCTAACTTTGCTTTGAGATTTAATTAAAATTATATATAACATGAACAAAATACTATAAAATATTCAATCACTTAAATGAATTCAAAAATCTGATAGAACTTTTGATTAGAATAACGAAGTACGAGAACAATGTTCTACGGCTTACCAGATGGCTCTGCTTGATACCTCCTATATCAGCGATATTTTCACTCAATGTCTTATTGCCGTTTATCTAAAATAAAAAGATAAATAAATAAATAAATAAATAAATAAAACTCACCATGTAGTTAAGAAATTTGATTATCAAACGGGCTCAAGTTAAAAGAGACTACTCATAAAAATCATATTCATTGTTTATACAATACTCTTTTTTGGTAATTTTACACAAATAAACATTTTCAAGAAAAAATACTTTAAATTGTTAAATATTAATAATATTAATGAAGCAATGGAAGAATGTATAAACATATATAAACAACTTTTTTTAAAATACATGTATATTGTTGTTTTAGACATATAAACACGAAACCCTTTAATGTTAAAAAAGTTCCGTTTATTTGTCATAATCTTATTACACAGGTATTATCTTGTTCTTGTGAAATAAGCAGAGACATTCGTTGTCTTCAGTCAAGTACGGTCAAATATGATCATCAAACAAAGTAAGTGACGCTTCTCTTTCAAACTGATATAGATTTATCAATTACAAAAGAAAACAAGGGGAGAGAACAAATGAATAAACTTATGGCAGGGAGATTTAGAATTTTGTAAGAAAGAACAACAAAACTTACATTCATATTAATGTTAGGAACTGTAAATAGACTGTAGTGGTTTATAACACAAGCTGCTTTCTCGTTATAATTCTCCAGGGAATAATTGCTCCACCAGTTATGAAGTAAACCTTTGGCGTCAAATGCGCGACCTGAATAATAGACGACAACGATGCAAAAAGGTAAGGTCAAAAACGTAATAAACATGGCACCGGTTATGTTGTTTCACACTTTGGTATTTTAGACTGGAACACTTTTAAAGATTTTTACCAAAGTACTCATGAAAAACAGTTTAAAAAATCAGATCAGATACTTTAAAAATGAAATCCGTGGGTGGGGTTTTGTCCTTAACATTTTTACTTACCAACAAAGCAAAATCATAAACTGTATGAAGTGCTCAGATGCAAAATGATACTAGTATGTTCTATTCCGAATGAGCGCTTTCAAAATTTATTGGCGACGCCGGTGAGCGGCGTCGTCTATTATGGAACGCTTTTTATTTTTGCCTATGGAAGGAGCTGTTATTATTAGCAGTTAATTTCATGTTGTGTTAATTATATTTATTTTGATTCGTAAAAATCAAGTAAACAAATATGTTGTTATATTTGTATTTAATAACTTTATATAAAAAGCATGTGCATTGTGATATTATTTTCACGAAATTGCAGGCTCTGATTAACAGCTTGTCCCTTTGTTTTATTGACAATGCTAAAACCCGGATTTCGAATATCGTTGTGGTCTACATTGATGTTCATTCATTTATATATTTTCAAAACTTTCTACAAGAAGAAAGTTCACCTGCAAATGAGTATTAGGATAGGTAATGGACTGTTGTAAACGATTATCCTATTGATTTTATCCATATTACGTTTATCTGTTGAACAGAATGGTTGTTTTTACAAAGTGTACCAGTATCCGGATGTTGACAGCTATCCGATTTTCTGCAATTACTGCTGTCACATGGCCATCTACTTTTTTATGAATACTTTACCATTAATTTGCATGGCATTATATAAATTAAAATGAGCCTGCAACATTTCTTAATTTTGATGTTTAGGGTGTTCTTTTGGGTTTCATGTTTTCTTTTATTTCAAGGGGAAGTGACTCATGTTTACTAAATTATTTGTTCTTTTCTGTCAATCTTAGGTATTACTTACAATTTTTGTTTTATAAAATTTACCAGTTGTAAGGTCATCAAAAGCATAGAGGCCCTGATGAGTGAATATTGATATATATATACTTTTACTGGCTTTATATAATCAATATTTCATATTTATTTAATAGAAACTTGGAATTATTAATGTTATGTGCATACATTTATATCTTAGTATATTGGTATGATGAGACTTACAATATTTCTGAATTTAAAGAGTTGCAGTTATGTCATTATTATTAAAGGGATGAGACTTTCATTTAAAGTTATAAATGATAATACATGTATTGATTGAAAATGTCCTGAAACTTGGATCAAGCAATATAATTGATAAAGCCTCAAAAAATCATGTTCTGAATAGTTATTCTAATTTTTTCTAACATGTGCATAGTTTGAAAAGGACAGCTTCTGCCTTATCTGTTTGTAATGGAGGGACACCGGTCTCAACCTCCAGGTCTCCTGAGTCAACCCGACAACAGACTTTTCATAGAGTAGATTGATACTTGTCCTTGAATAAATTTGTACACTAAATTTTATAGTGGGTGATTTGTGCCACATGAAAACCAACCAAGTACAAAAAGTAACCGGGCGCCAGATGAAAACATGAAAATACAATCTACCACAAAGTGGTTCGTTTGTTGCATTTTCATGTTTTCGCCCGGTGCCCTTGATGTAAAATACAAATCAGCCTTCATAATATTTCTTATAGATATTGTACATGTATTAGCACAGTTATATTCACTTTCAAATTGAACTGTTATAAATAATGGCATAACCAATAACTGTCTTAGCCCTTTTTAGTAAAAATAATTATACAATAATAATTATATAAATTGTTATTTTAATTAAGACTATGAGTATGTAAGGTTTTTTTCTCTTATTTATTAATTAAGAATTAATTATCTGTTAATTTAAAAATCTAAATATCTGTCACGGTTTAGAACTGTTCACTATTTAGGGGAGAAAATGTGTAAGCGGCCAGATAGCTCAATCGCTACAGCCGCGGTACATTATTCTGTGGGTCACAGGTTTGAGTTCTGGTCAAGCTGAAAGTTTTTCTCATCCTGTTACTGCAAATAACCATTAGCTTAATTTACTATGCTCTGTAATAATAAAACATCAGAAATTCAAGTACATGAATCAATATAGTGGGGAAAAAGGTTTAGGTTTAGAACTGTTTCATTATTATAGAGAAAATGTGTAGCCGGCCGGATAGCTCAGTTGGTCTTTTGAAAGTCATGGGTTCGAGTCATGGTCAGGCAGTTTCAGTCAGGGTTTAGAAGTGGTTTTTCAACTGACACATGTTTGATTCATTTAATAGATTGCATTTAATTTGAAATGGACAAAGGCAGTATTGCGTGATACTTTTAAATCTACAAAAAGCATTTGGTACAGTTGATCACACTATACTGCACACGAAGAAGTTCTTTTTTCTTCTTCTTCATGGAACTTCAAGCATCTGCCATATGTAATGACATTCTTGCATGGTTCAAGTCTTATCTCTGATAGCAGCTGGTGAATGTGGCTGGTACTCCTTCTCTCTGAATACCTGGTGTCCCCCTGATGTTTATTTTAGGTCCTCTTTTATGTCTAATATATGTCAATGACATGTCTGCAACCCTAAGCAATAAGCTTTTATTATATGCACAGGCACAAGTATCAGACCTGGGAAGAAAAAATATTACCAGATTGATAAAAAAAACTGTGTATATCTTAAAAGTGTCACAAACCAAAAAAAAATGTAAATGATGACCCCCTTTAAAAATATACTTAAAGTTAATAGTATATTTTTAAAGGGGGTCATTATTTACATTTTATTTTTTGGTTTTTGACACTTTTAAGATGAACACAGATTTTTTATTAATCTGGTCATATTTTTTCTTCCCAGGTGTGATACTTGTGCCTGTCATTATATGATGATGACTCAGGTATCCTTGTATCTGGTAAAGTAAATCTTAAGATTGTTTTATTGACTATAAATTGTCTTTGCATCTTGGCAAGACAGAGTCTATTCTTTTTGGTTTAAGTTTCAACATAAACTGGGCCAAGCCTCCAGGTCACATGAAATGGTACTGCTATAAAGTACACGTCTTTTGTTAAGTTATTAGGTGCAAACCTGGATCAAATTCTTTTGGCGTCGCCCTTTGATGCTTTGCATCAATGCTTTTCTTGTATATTTTGAAGTCATTATTTATCACCCTCAAGCGGCAGTTCAATTGATTTATGACTTTATAAATGGGAGAAAAAAAATGCTGAAATATTTTCTAGATTGATTTTCTGTCAACTTCTTCGCCTACATGCTACATATATTAATAAGTCTTACACCGCCAAGTTCTTATAGTGGATTTGCTAGAGAATACTGTTATTAAGCGTGTATAGGCCTAGAATTTGGTCAAAATGACAAAGACAAATATGGCTGACTACACCGGGAGTGTACACGAAGTACATGTAGTTAAAAATAAACATAATCTTACCGGAAGCATCGTAACCGTGCGTTATTTCGTGACCTATCACCAAACCTATACCGCCAAAGTTAATAGATCTGGAAAAAAATAAAGAAACTTGTAAAATAGTGATTGTGAAGAACCTCCCTTTTTCAACTCTTTTCCCCTTTTTCATGCCAAATCTAACGTCCAAATTAACAATGAATTTTGGTCTCTAGTAATTTCATAATTTCTTTCCTCTATTCTTCTGCTCTCATTTTTTTTATTCATTTTTCATTATTTTTTTATTTATTAATTTTCGTTCTTGAGACCGCCTTTGGAATGAGTTTATAATAAGTTACAGCAAAAGGGACAAACATAAAAGAATTCTTAAGAAGACACTTTAATTCATTTTCATAAAAATTTTATCATTTTCACTGGTTAAATTTTTATCTTCGGAACATCTGGAATCAGACGTCCTTCATTCCACGTTCCCTTTGTCGTAAATCTAATTTCTAACTCTGGAATGATTGTCAGATTTTAGTTCTAACAATGGATCAATCTTGTGACTTTATGAGGAAATTTGCAGCTGTAAATTTATAGAAAAATTTGAATGTATAAATATATTTTTTTCCCATGTTTAATATAAATTTTCCGCTACATCACCATACATTAGAAATCATAAATTTATCAAACACCTGATGCCTGTCCATCTCAATCATGTTCGTGTATTATTTATGCCTACCATATACCATCATACAAAAATAACTTTCCATACTACGCACTAAAATCATAGCTCGAAAAACAGATTTTTAAGATTACAGTTTTATTTTAAAAAATCCGTGTCGACATTATGATATTGATATACTTACGAGGGATAATTGATATCGTAATATGGGCTCTGCAAAATACCAGCAGGAAAGACTGAAATGAACAGAAACATGAATTTTAATCTCATTCAAGGGAAACAACTCGACTTAAAAGCTATTATACATTACTTTAAAAGTTGTATCCCTTACATATTTCGTATGTATAACAACTGTTAAAAAAATCTAAAACTTTGAAAATTATCTTTTTCAAATTTATTTTTTTTATATGACCCATGTTTAAAACGTATAAATCAGTGATATTGAACGTAATCTTTGTATGTAAGCGCTATGTTTATTGAGCCAGTGCTAGGGGGCGTGGATATATGAACAGTTTCACTCCCTACAACTAACCAATACTAGCATTTTCAATTCTGATACCTGCATGCCACAAGATGATCCAAATTAGTTCAAGCAAAATTAAACTTGTGAAAAATGAACTTAGATTTTAAAACAAGTAAAATGATTTAAGATTCAAGTAATAATTTACAAGTTATGTGCGATTGATGACTGGCATTGCAATATTCATCACCATATTTCTACTGCGTGACTAACGCAGTAATGGCTACTTTTGCATATTTTGTCTTCTTGTTGGTAATTTTCGTGGATTGTAAGAGCTATTTGCAAAGGGTAATTTTAAAATTACATTCTTTTTTCACTTCACAATATTTTTCTTTTTAATAAAATGTCTAAATATACATACCTATAGCATTAAGGCCACTGTGATAGTATGCATTCACAACAGCGGGTCTTTCTGGCCACCTGATAAATTAATATAATATAATATAATATAGATCTAATATGATATGATATGATATGATATGATATGATATGATATGATATGATATGATAAAATAAAATAAAATAATATAAAATAAAATAAAATATAATTTAAAATAATATAATATTATCATAATATTATATAATCATTATATTATATTTATAATATAATATAAAATATTGGCTTCCTTTCTTCTTACAAACGGAAAATGTCCCTTAATTTTTTTATTTGAATTACAAAAAGTATTTTTAGTCAGATTGAAAAAGACGTGTTAAGTGAATTTCTTTCAATGTTATAACAAAAAATTCATAAACATAGAAATAAAAAATCTTTACTTTTCTGACATATTCGTTGAATTTCTTTCCTCATTATTGTGTTAACTGATAGTTTAGAAAGTAAAATAAGTGCGAAAATTGAACAAATAAAATTTTCTCATCACATCAATATAAACAAATCCATTGATAGATAAGCATTATATATTGCAAATTAACATGCACTCAGACAAAAAATTTAACAATTCAACTTCGGATTAAAGAACAATGATATATAACTCTTTGTCGGCTGACAGCCACAGAATTTACCCACGTGACCACTGTAAACCATGGTTGGCTTGAACGTCTGTGCCGTTTAGTCTGCACTATTCGATATACAGTCAGTACATATGTTTTAAATTTTCAATCAAAATTATCAATGGAAATGTCCAGAATAATAGATGTATAAAATTTAAAATATTAAGTAAGGTAAGGATGGAATAGCTATCGTTAAAATTACAGTTTTTTAAATAACAACCTTTCATAACTGGGTTGACGAAGTTCTTCAAGTTGCTTCAAACCAACATGACGTCGGATACTTTTCAAGTTCTCAAAGAAATTGGTCGAGGAAACACTAACCTGTTCGAATAAAAACAAACATCAAACATATTCTGACAGTATTGTAGTATCTAATGTTTACGTGAACTTATTTTTGAAAATTGTCCATAAATAGATGACTTCCTACTAGAATAACAATGTATGCCTGGTCGCAAATAACTACGAAAAGCAAATATCAATTCAATATTCACGAAAAAAAACAACAGTTTCATTTTATCTTAATTGAATGATTATTGCTAAATTAAAATAAAGTCCATGATGACTTTCAAAGTCTGTCTTCATTAAAAATAACAAAATAACAAAAAATATCACTAAAAATATATCGTATACTTATCACTAGATGTTCTTAATGACTTTAAGGGTTAAATTCTTGAATTATTGAGATTTTTGAAAATTATACAATAAAATGAAATAATAAATTGCTTCTAATATAAATAAAACTGTAACTTTTCGCATGCAAACTTACATTAGAATAGGACTCCGTTAGTATGGTATCATTAAAGATAAAACTTGGGAATCCTATAAGAGCCTTCATTGCCTCTAACTGAAAATAAAGAAATATATACTTAAATACTATTTACTTATATTTGTTGCTTTGTCGTCGTTTTTGTAACGCAAAGGCATTAGCATGAAAGCGGTATAAATCAGTCACAATCTGATACAATGTATGTAAAATTAAACATCTGTGTTTTAAAAAATATAAAATATTGAAACAGAGACAAACATTGTGGCTTATATTTATCGCTTTCTTGCTATATCTTTTGCGCTACAAAAATGACAAAGCAACAAACATCCACCGTTACTCGAAAAAGTCACTTTAACGCTGAATATAATGGCGCGTTGTAAATGAATTGCATTTGTTGTGTCGCGTCAAACCGCTACGCAGTGGTCATTCTTTGCTTCCCCACGTAGCCATTCAAATCACTGTGAGGAGTTTGGTGTCGCGTAAGAGAAATTCGTAAAAACAACTTGTCTTGTTGTCGCGCGAGCGGCGACGCTTATAACGAGCAACAATAGGACATTTTTAGAAAGTATTATACATGTATGTTAATCTCTAAAACCAAAACAATATCTGGCAGAAAATTTAATGTATATACAACACTATTATCAAGAGATTCTTTTCATTAGTGGAAAACTCCTTCATATTGCACCAGTTATAACTAAAATGTTCCATCAAAATTCATTCACATACATGTGATGCATAGCGAAAATAATAAGACCTTTCATTTTTATCACACAATATCTATTCTAATACTCTAATGCAAGATTGTCAATGTTTTATAGGAGTTGAGAACAGTGGGGTAAATATAAGTCAAAATCATATTTTAAGACAATAACACGGGGGAAGTGTTACACGAGGGATGTAAAAGGTGGTGCACATATCGCAAGAAACACATTGGCAGTAACAAAATTTATCATGTATCACACGAACTCCGGGACATTTGAAAAATCGGGTATAAATTTGTAAGCCGGGGCTTTATGTTTGCAATTTTGTATTATCATTACGTAATCATGTATGGCAATGATGAAGACTTGAAATAAACAGGTCAATACTTGCGAATTAGCAAATTAATTTGAATTTTTTACACAAAACTATTAGATTTTAAGCAAAAGGCGATGAAAAATGGAATATGAATTAGTTTTTGACACATAATACAATATGTACAATTTAAGATCTTAGACGTTTATTTCACAATGGCACATTTTGTTTTATGTGATAAATCCAGCAATGATTATTCAACGGCTCAGCTTGCTTAGTGTAAAATTTGCTATGCAACAAATATTGCAATAGGCTAAAATTACAGCTTTAGCCGGTGCTAGGGGACGTAAGAGATGTATCTCTCATAAACAGGCTCAATCAAACTGAGTCTGCAATTTTGCCTTTTTAAAGTTTTTTTTATTTTTCTCGAAGGTTCTGCCCTGTCCCAAAATGATAAGGATACGACACGCTTTGACAATAGATAGAACCACACTTTAACAATGGAAAGAACCACACCTTCGCAATGGATAGAACTACACTTTGACAATGGATAGAACCACACTTTGACAATGAATAGAACCACACTTTGACAATGGATAGAACCACACTTTGACAATGGATAGAACTACACTTTGACAATGGATAGAACCACACTTTGACAATGGATAGAACTACACTTTGACAATGAATAGAACCACACTTTGACAATGGATAGAACCACACTTTGACAATGGATAGAACCACACTTTGACAATGGATAGAACCACACTTTGACAATGGATAGAACTACACTTTGACAATGGATAGAACCACACTTTGACAATGGATAGAACCACACTTTGACAATGGATAGAACTACACTTTGACAATGGATAGAACTACACTTTGACAATGAATAGAACCACACTTTGACAATGAATACAACCACACTTTGACAATGGATAGAACCACACTTTGACAATGGATAGAACCACACTTTGACAATGGATAGAACCACACTTTGACAATGGATAGAACTACACTTTGACAATGGATAGAACCACACTTTGACAATGGATAGAACCACACTTTGACAATGGATAGAACTACACTTTGACAATGGATAGAACTACACTTTGACAATGAATAGAACCACACTTTGACAATGAATAGAACCACACTTTGACAATGGATAGAACCACACTTTGACAATGGATAGAACCACACTTTGACAATGAATAGAACCACACTGGACAATGGATAGACCCACACTTAAACAATGGATAGAACCACACTTCGACAATGTTTAGAACCAACCTTTCACAATGGATAGAACAAAAGATATAAAAACGCACATTTTACGATTCCAGCTCTGTTGGAAGTTGAAATTTTATATTTTAAAGATGCAGATGCACGCTGTCCTTGATAACAATAATTTATGTGCTAAAGATTTAATACCGCGTAAGTCGGTGCTAGGGGGCATTGAGGACGTTGGACCTTTGATTTTCTCCAATAGCCGTAAGTCGGTGCTAGGGGACATGGCGACAGGGTTGCACATTTTTATTATCTCTCATCAACAGATAATATTACACCGAGTCTGGCGCTTTTATTTTGTTTCCATTTCTCTTCAAGGATCTCCCGTTTCACAAGAATTGTGATATATTTGCGTAATAACAAATAACAATTATTGTAGGCCTTCGTGAACCAATTTCTCAGAAAGTCGGTCGTTTTCATTATAACATAATCATATGATAAAATCTTACAAAATTCACACTAAAAACAAACGCTTGCACCAGGTAGGAGATTTATCATGTGTTTATATTCACCAGTAATGCATTTTACACAACTATGAAGATAATGATAATGTAAAAAACGTTATTTGTTTAGATAAAATGTTATGTTAATCAGCGACAATTATTATGTGTGATTTACAACTTGTGCTGTTAGAACACGGCAATGCTCGCATTTCTGAGACAGAAATTTCTGGGGAATTTGATTAATAAAAGAGGACAGGAATAGCGGACGCCCCAGTTCGTATCGTTAGTAAAGAATTCGTCCCGATTTGTAATCAGTTGAAAAAAGTACGAATGTCCATTAAAATGTTTACTTTTCTTTAAAACCCTTTTGGGAAAAAATTTTCGTAAATATTTTTTTTTTTATCACTTTACTTTTTGTGGCGTACATTTTCCCATTTTTTAATTCCCTTTGGAAAATGGTTTTTTTTAAAAAAATAAATTAAAAAAAAACCCAGTGGGAACCCTTTTTTCAATAATTTTTTGAAAAATAAACAAAATTTAACTATCATTTTCTTTTTTTTTTTTTTTAAATGTTTGGGACCCAACTTTGAAATTTATAAAAAAAGATTACGATTAAAAGTTGTAGCGTGTTATTTTTTTTTGATCTCATATTGTTTTACTTTCTACTGCACAAATCGTGATAATACAATCAATCATTTCACTATAAATACCGTTTTTATTTCTTTACGTGCTGATAGGTTTAGTGAAAGCATTTTAAAGCCAGTGAACGTTTCAAAACGAGGCAATGTTCTATACCAACCTACTTACCATCCTCAATCAGGCGAATTACAGCCGTATAAATATTGAAATGATTCAGAATCAACAGTATATTAACAGAACTCATTCCAGTATTGAAATGGCATTGTTTAATTAACGAACTGACACGTTCGTTTTGCAATGATTTGATGAAACTATACAATATTTAATTAACAAATTATTATTACAAATATGATTTTCTGTGAAGACATCTGTAGCGCCGATATATGTCCAAACGTCGAAAAATGTCCAAACGACGATAATTGTCCAAAAATTGACGATAAATGTCTCAATCGCCGAAAAATGTCCAAAACTCCTTTAACGGTAAATGTCCAAAAATTAACGAAAAATGTCGCAACAAATTAGGTGCTCATAAATGTCCAAATCGGTCAACGATAAATGTCTCAACTTTTCATATATTAATTGCACTCATTTCTATGATCAACAGTAACGCATCAGCCAGTTATAAAGGTTTCCATAGTGATTAAAAGTACCGATTAAAGAAGCGTTCTCACCAGCATCCCGGCAAAGCCCAGGACCACCCCAGACGATCCGGGATGAAAATATTATTGCAGTCTCAATAACCCAAGTAGCACTACGGCGATACCCAATGTCCATACTTATATCAACCAGGATGAAGTCCGGACCATCCATGCAGAGTCCATTTGAAACTATGGATAATGCAGATAGTAAGTGGACGACGGATGACCAACGTTGTTAAGTCTTCGATCAAAGAGATAATAAAAGCTGAGATCCATGCTAGCACAGCGCCAGATGATGTCAGCAGAGTCCCGGATGATCCCGGCAGAGCCCCGGTACGGTCAGATAGAGTGCCGACAATCACCGATAGAGCCCCGGCAGAGCCCTTGATCACCCCGGACGTTGCCGAAAGAGTTACGGACGTACCCCGGTCGTTCCTGGATCACCCGACCGACCACCGGGACTCTAGCGGGATGCTTGTGAGATTGTTAAAAAAAATTTTAAAAAATGTATTTGAAAATAAGTTGATTGTTGGATACAGTCTATCTCCCTAACTATTAAAAGGGAAAAAAATAAGTTAAACCGAGGTGCATTGTACTGGTGCTTTACACCGGGTACTTAAAAGAACCAGGGTCGCACAATCTTCAACAATCTTCAGGGGACGTTGGTCATATGGGCAACCGGTACCAACGATAAAAAAGTCAAATAAAATAAGTTATTATGCCCCCCTTCGAAGAAGTTGGCGAATATTGCTTTGCCCATGTCGGTCGGTCGGTCAGTCTGTAGACCATGCCATTTCCGCTCAATAACAAGACAATGCTTTGACTGATGATCCTCATATTTGGTGCGGAGGTTGGTCATGACTAGTAGATGACCTCTATTGATTTTGGGGTCAGTAGGTCAGTAGGGGTCAGTAGGTCAAAGGTAAAGGTCACAGTGACCTCACTATTAAAAGCTTGTTTTTAAAAGATATTTTGTGTGTAACTACAGGATTTACTCATTCATGGACCCATGGATCATATTGGTTCTGCCCCATGGCAATGAATATACATGTATTCCTTAGCAATTTTTCTATGCATTTTTATACACATTTAAAAATCTAATGTTATTATCTTAAATTGGCTTGTGTTTAGGGGGCATACATGTTTTACAAACATATCTTGTGAACATCTGCATTGCGCTACTCCACACTTATAGCTATATTCAGTGTAAATAATAGAATTTAGAATGGGCCAATCCTTGGTTTGCGACTTCGGTTATGTAACTGATTTATATTATTCATACCTCAATATATCCTTCAATGTAAAACTCCCATAGGCCTACAATGTGTTCTGATCGAATATCACCCTCCTAGAATATATTTCCCGGGGAATATTTCTTATATCACCCTGGGGTACATAACTCTTACATAACTATGTGTTATTTATATAATATTGCTAAGTTAATATTTGACATATAATTAATTTTTAAATGTACATGTTTGTATCCAACCAGCACAGCAAGAAAACATACTATTACGTCAAGTGTCTATTACGGTGGCACAGATATGGCACATGGGTGTCTTTTTTTATCTTGTTCACACGAGATATTATCATGTTCCCACAAGATATTATCGTGTTCCCACAAGATATTATCTTGTTCCCACGAAATAATCATCTTGTTCCCACGAGATAATATCTTGTCACTACGAAATAATTATCTTGTTCCCACGACATAATTATAGTCAATCAGAAGCTGTAAAATATAGCAGTTACTTCCCCTTATTAAGTTGAACATTTACTTGATTATTTATACATTATATTCATGTCACCATGTAGGTTGATCCTGAAAGTGCCACACTGTAGGGACATACAAAACCTTAACTGCCAATTACTGGTGTTTAATAGCGCACACCCTCATCTGGTGACGCATTTGCGTGCAAACTGATCTGGGTAGCACTGGAGGGATACATGTAAGTAGCCTTTCAAAACTCTGTATTTATAAGGCGGTGGCCCCGCAGTGGCGTTCAGTCCACCTCGCGCGAATGAGTAATAATCAAATACAAATGTCTTAAATCAATGTAGCATGAGAAGGACCGTCTTCGCAGCACTTAAGAGAAAAGTCACAAAACCCATTTAACACGTGTTGCGTATATGCTTATTACGACCATTGTCGAACCATATCCCCCGACAAGCAAATGCGTCATCCTGTCAAGGTCTGCACTGTTCGCTGTTGAATCAGTAGGTCAGATTTTAACTGTCAAAGCAGTTAACCCCTTGATTAGCTCACATGGTTTATACAGGTTAACTGCTTTGTTTGCCAGATAAAGTTGCATATTTTTCTTAACTTTTGACCACTTGGCAGTAAAGGAAAATGCAACTCTGTACACGCCCCTATACCGTTCACAAACTTTCGGGACGGACACTTAGATACTCGGACGGACAATGGCAACGCTATATGGGGCACAAAAATATTGAAGAACACAAACAATGCTAAAACGTATTGTTTCGGTGAGTTAAGAAGGCACATGCCCCCGCGCCCCATCCGGATCTGCAACTGGCCATGCACAATAATGTATGATACATTTTACGTCGGGGGTAAACCAGAGTGTTAAAATCACGGTTAGTTGGATAGACTGTTACAGTATCCAATACAATAAATTACAAAAATAACATATGAAAAATTAAGACATTTATCGTTAACCGATTTGGACATTTATGAGCACCTAATTTGTTGCGACATTTTTCGTTAATTTTTGGACATTTATCGTTAAAGGAGTTTTGGACATTTATCGGCGATTGAGACATTTATCGTCAATTTTTGGACATTTATCGTCGTTTGGACATTTATCGACGTTTGGACATATATCGGCGCTACAACATCATTTCAGCAGAAGAACATTTAAAAACATGTTTATTTTTTTATTTTAATTGTCACGTTTCTGTCATTCTTTGAGATCCTTATTCATTATGTTTGTATCAATTGATTGTATATTGTATTGTCGAGGCTATTTATAGCTTTTACTATGCTATTTATAGCTTTAACTATGCTATTTCTAGCTTTTAATATGCTATTTATAGCTTTTACTTTTCTATTAATAGCTTTAATTTTAATACTTTTACCTTTTTCAGAGCCTCTTCTTTGGTTATATCGTCCATCCAGTCTGCTTTGTTTACAATGTCTTTAAAAACTCGTCTTAGATAACTTATAAGCTCTAGCATCTGGTAATATATAAATAAACATTTATCTTTATATGTATCTTGTATAGCTAAATAATTGAAAATTTGAATATTGAAATTAATCTGTGTTTATCTATGAATCCTTTTTATCAATATTACATCATGAAGTTCAAATAAAATACTATTCATGTAAATATAGCAAACAGTGCAGAAAAAATGGTCGGAAATGATGATATCGCTCGTAATATAGATCTATTAATCTGGTTTTTACATTTCATGTTAAATTACCTATTTGAATCCACGAATTTTAAATGAAAAATTGGCTAGAATGGATATTTATTTTGAAATGATATCGATTGAATTAAAGAAACATTGTGCTCATTTTTTTCATTGTCAAGTTGAGTTAAATTGAACACATATTTCAAAAGATTGACTGTTATAATAGTGATTGGCCAACAGTTGATATTGGAAAATGTTGAGGATAAAATATATAAATATAAAAAGACAACCCCACTCTTTTAATAAATTGAACGTTACAGGTAAAGTCCAATGACTATTTATAGAAATTTATGGAAGTAAATCATAAAATTGAAAGGAATTCTGGCAAAATGATAACTTATTATGAATTATTATATGACCAATTCATCATACCTCAAATTTACAAAGATATAAATTTCCCATTTTGTTCAATTTGATTAACATATATTTAACATATAAAAGGAACTCACGTGATCTCGTTCTTTGGGTCCAAATATTTTTTCAGCATACATACGTCCAGTGGCATGGTCCAGATATTGATTAGTGGACTCAGAGCATCGCAGACCTCTCGGTTTTAACTCCTTCACACCCTCTGTACTCTAGAAATACAGTTTGTGATTGAGTATGATGTAGAAATTTTAATAAAATGCCAATGCAAAATGAAATTGCATTATTTTAAAACCACATATGATATATTGTCTTGCATTTTCGTAACAAATTTGGTAAATACTTTTCAATCAAATATGTTAATTGATATCTAAAGTGAAAGAAAAGATTTAATAAAATTTCTAAAAGTATGCCTTTTATATACGGCAAAATACTTATACCATATCATGTTAAGCGGATATAAATGATATTCGAGGACTTAATTTATAACCATTTTATTACATGATATAATGCGGGGTTGCTTTGTTGTTGCTCATTGTTTATTTACATCTTTCGGCTTTTTTATTTATAATTATGTACTTTTTTCTTTTATACCTTTTCAATTCCTAATACATTTGCAATAAGATGTTATTTATGATTGGCGTTGAAAGTACAGTGAACACCGTATTAAAAGACCAATTTCTAATAAAGACCATGAATGTCAATAAGTCGCTAAAACCCATATTGTTTTTCTACAAGAACTAGGTGAATGGCAAACTAAATTCCTTTGAACTACCAACGTTCAGCTTTACTCGTATTTATAGTCTAGTAATCATGTTTTGTTTTGTTCCATGTTTCCATTTTAAATTATGATATTTTAAAAACTTAAGATCATGGTAATTTTTCACAAGGTTTTTTTTGGTATGATGTATATTTCCTTGACTCGCTGTAAGTCTATTTCCATATTATGTCTGATTTCCATTATCATTATTATATCATTTATGTCTAATTACATGTTATGTCTGTATACCTTTCTAAACTGTAGGTTCATGAGACTAAATTTTCCCTCCATGGTGATAAATTGTGGTGTTATCAATCGCCAGACGATGTAATTTGCGATCGTTCTGAAATGGTTTGTATATATATAAATTAAAAGTATAGATGCACAAAGATAGTTTGACATTTTATGAAATTCCATATACGCAAAAAATCCAGTACCTGGATGCTATTTACTTTCTAGTGCGCTTGAGAAGTTTTAGAAGTTGTATAATAAACCCGGTAACCAGATTCAAGTTTCAAATAGAAAACATATACAAAATAAACTGCAATACTCTTTAGAAAATGTTTTACTTAATTTCCATATAAAAATGATTTTCAATATAAAAGACATTGTACACCTCAATTTCACTAAGTCAGTTAAAAATATTTTCATGAACGGAATAGAAAGATGACCTATGTGTTAATAAGCTGTATGAAAGTTTTGTTATTAAAACTGCCTGCTCTATGAGAGATAATTTAAGAATTTTCGAAAATAAAATTTACGAATAAAATATAACTGGATTAATAAATATGTAAATATTCACAATTCAAATGACTCATTGCACATCATTTATGAAAAATGTGACCGAATTAACTATTACCGCTATCGACATTGCAATTCTACACTTGTTACTCACGTCTAGGTGCTATTATTTTATATAAGAAAATTAAATTAAGTGTGTGTGTTTATCAATTTTTAATCTCTTTTATAAGTAAACATGACAAGTTTTACTTCTTCTTATTGTACAGATTTGAAGGAATGCTGCCTAAAAAGCGTGAGTTCAATCAAAAAAATATACAAATAAATAATGCCGAAAATTGTAATAATTGCAAGTATGCCCAAATTAACACATTACACCTATAGTCAATTACAAACATAAATAAACTTTTAAGAGATCAAGAATTAGATTAATTCAAACAAACAATTTTAAACATATATTAAAGATCAAAGGAAGATAACGTATCTTTCGTCTGCTGCTATCCCTGATTAAATATCGCGTACACAATAACAGCTAAAACATACTGTCTGCAATCAGATTGATATTGAAGATGAAGTTCATTGATTTCTTTAAGCTGTTCAAAATGGAGGGTAAAAATTTAACAAGGAAAATAATTATATTACTTTATAACCTTTCATCTAGGCAATTAAGAAATTTAATTCTGTCTGGTAATGAATAGAGGCATCCCAAATGTCTGATTTAATTCCGGTTTCAAACCGATGCGGCAGGAAGGGGTTGGGGGTTGGAGGAGAAAAAGTAACATTGTAAAGATGAGAAATCGGCATCCAATCGAAATTGAAAAAGTCGGAACATAAATACATGTATGTAAACTTTGTTAATCTACTTATCTAGTGATATCAAAGATCAGTTCATGGATAAACTCCTATAATATATTATACGTAATCACTGAGTTCCATTTTTTTGAGAAAGAACAATTGTGTATTCTTTTAGCATAGCATTTTAGAAGAGGACAAAATACAAAATATAAGATTTTCAACCGCTCCTATACTTGCCCATCTACTTAGTGTTAAGAAGCATATTTGCACCAATCAAACTGCTGTGGCCAAAAATGTTTGCTTACCAGTTTTGGTGGTTGAAAATGTATGCTTACCTTTGGTTGGTTGAAAGTGTATGCCTTTCATTTATAGTTGGTTGGAAAATATACTTACCTGTTTGGTTGGTTGAAAATGTATGCTTACCTATTTGCATGGTTGCAAGAAATTATGCTTAAATGATTGGTTGGTTAAAAGTGTATGCCTTCCATTTATAGTTGGTTGGAAAATTTACTTACCTGTTTGGTTGGTTGAAAATGTATGCTTACCTATTTGCATGGTTGCAAGAAATAATGCTTAAATGATTGGTTGGTTAAAAGTGTATGCCTTACATTTATAGTTGGTTGGAAAATATGCTTACCTGTTTGGTTGGTTGAAAATGAATGCTTACCTGTTTGCAGGAAATAATGCTTAAATGATTGGTTGGTTGAAAGTGTATGCTTTGCTGTTTGGTAGGTTGAAAAAAGTTTATTTACCTGTTTGGTTGAAAAAAAAACATGGTCATATTAACCTACCTGTTTGGAGTTTTTTCCAGTAAAGGGAACAACTGGTCATAATATGGTTTCATCCACAGAACAACGGGTTCGTTCGCTCCAATGGTAACAGTTGTGCCGCGGAATGTTGCTTTTAGGTAACGTAACCAGTCAAACTGTTAAGATAATTGTTCACATATTTATCAATGTTAATGATACATTTTACAGCTGTGTCTTTAAATGTTGTATGCCGGGCGCTTATTTTTTGTATGCCGGGCGCTTATTTTTTTGTATGCCGAACGCTTTTTTTAGGAAGTCATTACAGATAAGCCAAGAATGTTAAAATATTATATCATCTTAATGTTAACTTCAACAAAAAACCTTCTTATTATTCAAATATGCATCAATTGGTTATGTATAATACAATATGGTGGATGTATGTAACGTTTTTGTAAATTAGGGTGAAAATTTATTCATGTCAAAATAGCATTTATACTAATGACAGGAAGCGGAAATGCCCGATGTCTTCCGGTTATTTTGTTATCCCATAACCCTGTAATCTGAACATTTTTTATGTTTTACGGTATATTTTTGTATACCTTTGGGTACAAATTTGCCAGACTGGATACATTCATTCTTCTGTAATTGCCTTCCATATCTCGTCTGTCAGAAACTGCCACAGTAATCTGTAAGATAATATCAAATATATTGTATACATTAAATAGATCGTTTATAAATGAACCATTCAAGTAATAAATTTCAATTATACAAAGCGGTGGTTCAAAGCGATGGGAAATTTACACTGGAATCTTTAAAAAAAGTTATAGATCACGGTATTTCGTATTTTTGTTGGGTTTTACGTCTCACCAACACAGTAAAGATCATATAGCGACTTTCCAGCTTTACTGGTGGAGGAAGACATCAGGTGCCCCTCTATGCATTATTTTCAAGCACGAAGGGCACCGACGTTCCGTAAGCTAGCTTGATAACTTCCTCACATTAAAGAATCCAAAGTCCATTTCTGAGTATAGCCCCATTAGCGTATACCCAAATATAGAACGTACTGCTTATCTTTTGAATAGTTTATATTTGAATATGCAACTTATTCCGAATATCTGATACAATCTAAAGAACAGTTTTACAAACTAATACAACGATTGCAATAATTTTACTCATACATTTTCTCTGACCGGACATATCAAATATTGCCGAGAAACATTATGTCTTTTATTGTATGTTTTATGTATTGACTTCAGCACGTTTTTCACGACATTATACCAAGTACTGGCAATAGCATCATCACAATGATATATCTACTTAAATCGTTATTTAACTGTACTGTATACATGACACAGTGCTAATACTCCGTCCAAGTACTTGATAAACTGTATCTTTTATGTATTGGCTTGACTGTATTTTTTCGTATTTCATTAAGTGTATACGAAACCTTGAAACTTAAGTTCATCATACATGCACTGGGTACTGTCGTACGTTTTGCGTCAATTGTATTGCTCAAAACGCATTGCATGTAATTTTATAAATGTTACAATTGCAAAAGTAAAACACGATAATTTAACCAGAGATTTACAAAATGTGGGAGGCTTATACATTACTTTATGACGTTCAAATAAATTGTGGTATTAATCCCCCGAAGAACCCACTTAAACAGACACGAACTAAAAATTGACTCAATTTTCTTAGATGTATTAATGCATTGCTATAAATTATATCACTTAATGGAAAACCAAATCTTACAATTATATCTTAATGATTTAATGCACATCTATGATTCCGTTATCTCTCTTTATGTAATGGAAAGCTTCGGATATAGACCTCTTAATGGATCTAAAGATACTTGAAGATCTATTGAATAAAAAATACAACAGCAAATAGATCGTAAATGAAATAATGCATTTCCATTTGAACTGCTGGTTTAAAACAAGCACGCGATGAGATAGTAAATATGCTGAAAAAAGCTAGCCTAAATGTCGAAAATACTTTCAAAAACAATTAAATCGCAATGAGGTAATAATTTATAAAAGTTGTCAAAATGGACTTTAAGAAAGACTTTAATCCCTATGTTGTCTATTCAGTTTGTAGCTCATTGAACATAACATAATCATCGGTAATGCATATATTAAACTAATATCTTAGTCGTCTACATTTACATAATACCATCATCTATAACACATATACGTTATTGGTAGAACCCGAGTTATATAAATATTAATTAAACAGTGTCCCAGTTTGTTTGACACTGGACTTAAGGGTCAATATGGTCAGCTGTAGAGGTGTTTACCCCCTCCCTTTCCAACCTTTCCACAACTATTAAATGGTGTCAAATTAACCTGTTTTAATCAATATGATCTCCATTATCACGTTTAATTACAAAGCTTGCTCGTACTTATTTCACAACCGGCTGTCTGTTAATATTTTCATTAAACATTATTCAATATTTAAAAACTTATTTCATTATTTATTATTCAAATATTATCAATACCTTTGCAATTTGCTTTTCAAACTCTACAAGTTCTTTCATCTGTGTGGCAGCAACAGAAGGATCAGCACCTAGGGCTATAGCTATATCTGTTGTATACTTGATGTAGGCGGTGATCAGCTGGTCGTCCTGATACATGTCTCTTCCTTCCATTAACAATGACGGCTGATCTAACTGTTGAAACATTTCGTAAATTATAGGTCCAATGTTACACAAAAAACAACAATAATAACAAAAATAAAAATAAGCCGCGCCATGACAAAGCCAACATAGTCCATTTGCGACCAGCATGAATCCAGACCAGCTTGCGCAACCATGCAGTCTGATCAGGATCCATGATGTTCGCAGTTTCTCTACTTATAATAGAGTTTATAAGCGAACAGCATAGATCCTGATCAGACTGTGTGGATGCGCAGGCTGGTCTGGAGTCAACCTGGTCACAAACTCACCATGTTGGTTTTGTCATGGCGCGCTCAAATAATAAAAAAAACTTAAGAGTTTTCTGTGCCGTTTGCTATCAAAGATCTTTTACTACTCTTTCTTCTCCAAAAATACGTATTGTTAAATTTATTTATAAAATAGGTGAAACAAACTGAAGATAGGCCATGATTGTAAAATTGAAAACGTTGCAGACTCGATTCAATTGAGTCTGTTCATGGACGGTAGTGGCAAGCGCAAGCTACCGTCCATGCCCCCCTTGCACCGGTTTAAACAGAATTCAACATTTACAAATAATTACAGATTGATTGGGATACTTCTTCCTTTTATCAAAACAAGTTGTCAAATAAAGTATATAAAGTATGAAACGTTCTTATGTCAATTGAAAATACAATGAAAGAAAGACCATCTAAGTTAACAGTCTAGTGTAGCTTATGTATTTGAAATAAAATAATTAGGTGCCCAAAGTTTAAAACATTGTACTTACATAAAGCACGTGTTTTCCGTACACTTTATAATCGTTTAGTATGTTAAGACCCATCATTATACCATGCGGTATGGGCCACACAAAATTTGTCGTATACTGTCGTGCTGTGGCTATACTGTTTTCCAAGTCAAAGTTACTACCTTTCCATGATCTATTGAGGACAGGCCAACCACCAAGATCAGATATGAATTTTAACATATACTGATTTCCCTGGCTTTCTATAGATTCTGAAAGTAGAAACAAATTGCTTGTATTGCCATCTAAATAGGACCACATACAAACTAAAATCTAAAATGTTACTTTGCTCAAAATTGAGAATAGCAGACTCAAAAATACATTTGTTAGCATTTAAAATACCTGTTGTCGTGAATATTAAGGTTCTGGAAAGGGGAAATCCCGAAAAGCAATACAATAAAATTAATTGAATATTGAACAGAGGTTGTTTACAAGAGAGTTTGCACATTACAACATCCCTCCGGAGCAATCATTATTGCATACAATTAAGTGATAACTTGAATAAACATAGTGATAACTTAGTTTAAACATATTTATTCCCGAAAGTATATATAATGTACATACATACAAATATATAACAAACAAAACATTTTACACAATGGAAAAGGATGAGAATGAAAGAAAAGTCTTATAGAATTCTTCTCCTTTGGCGAACTATATGGTTTGTTTTAAATAAGTTTATAATTAGTATATACTAGACAAGGGAATAAGTATTAATTATACACACATAAAAATATATATTTATATATTAACTTTTATAGAATAGATTAACTACAAGTAGATGTCTAAAATGTAAGAATATATATAAAAGAAGAAAACAAAATAGTGGAAAAGAGAAGAAAAAGGGTGAGAGAGGATTATAGTCTCAATTAGAATGGATCTAAGTAAATCTTTTCGTTTTTTCTATATAATTTTGTACATTTGTAAATATAATAACGTTGTCCTGGTATGTAAGAGATGGGTCACCAAAGAGAAGTTTATGAAGGTTTATGCTGAAGTCTTGCAAGTTAAGGAGGAGTGTTCTGCGGACGGCATCGTATGCACAGCACTCGAAAAAGAAATGTTGGGTAGTTTCGATTTGCCCACAATTACACAAAGGGGTAAGAGAAATGTTTTTCAAAAACAGGTGGTGATTTAATGCGCTGCAGATCGTTCGAAGCCGAGTGTGAAGGACCTGCAGTTTACGACTACCTGTATAAAAGTATGTTGGTGTATATTTTCTGTCCTTGTTTAAGAAAGTTTTAAATGAAGATATTGTAGGGCTGTTTCGTATTATAACAGGCAAGTTGTTCCAATCACGAATAACTGATGGTGATAGTGATAACTTGAATTATCAATGTGATTACTTGAATTATCATAGCGATAACTTGAATTATGAAAGTGGTAACTTGAATTATCATATCATAGAAACTCAGTTCAAAATCATTATCGTTTTATTTTATCAAAATGGAAGAAAAACAAATATTGTACGAATTAAATACGAGAAAGCTTTGTTTAAAAGATCTTTTAATTGTTGTTGATTTTATATAACATACGTATGCCTATTTACATAAATACATTTAATAATGTTTTGGTTATTCGGTCTAATGATCGAACCTTTTTGTTGATTTATTCGTATCAATTGTTTTGACATCTGCTAATACATGTCTCAGATTACTTTTTTTATTACGATAACGCAACACGTGTGAGTTTTGCTTATTCTTTATAGTTCATTTATCGTATGTCATGGCATAACCAACATAGTCCGCGCAGTCTGATCAGGATCCATCCCGTTCGCTTACAAATCTTATTACAAGTATAAAAACTGATAGCGAATGTCGGCTCATTTATCATGTGTCATGGCAAAAATGTCACACGTTTAGTTTTATTAACTTGCATATGGAAGTGGTGTAATTTACAAGCTGTGCATAAAATCTACCTGATACAATTGATTTGATTGAACCAAAAGCACAGATGCATATCTGGATTCGGGAGAGAGCGTAATGATTCTACATTGTCAAAAGTGTTGAAAAAACAACACAAAGTAAATCCTTATTTAAATCGGCATTATATATGTTAATCAAGCATTTTTTATGTAGTCGATGGGTAAGAGTCGATGACTTCTAATCCAGTTACCTCTCTGGCGTGGGTTCGATCCCCGGGAGATGCTTTGGTAGTTTAGCGCGGAGGAAAGTAGTCTAGTACTGGTGTAACTCTCCAGGAACGCTGGTTAGGATATTACTAAAATACTGTTGGGAAAAGGCGTAAAATGAAACAAACAAACATGAGTGTGTCATAAAAATAGAAAAATATGATCAACCAAAAAGGCGGCGTTCAATGAACGCAAGCCCCACAAGACCCAGCAACACACGACTATCGTCAAGGAGCCACGCAGGACAACACACAAAAAACAGGACAGGGCACAGGACAAAGCACAGACGGGTCAACACAAAATCGGCAAGCTCACTATGATGTTCACTAAAATGATACGTTTTGCTATGTTAATGTGTTGTGTACCTTTGGTTCTTCGTCTCTACTTACAAAAATAAAATAAACTATTTACCTTTGTCCATACATGCTTTGTAGAATGTCTTGGCTTTCGTAATTGGCTCAATATCATTGTTGTCGGGAGAACTTAGGAGATCTGAAAAGAAAAAAGAAACAATGTCAGAGCATTAAAGAATGAGTGTAGTAGACAATTTATTGAGATGTGCCTTTAAAGATGGTATATAAAATTAAAATAAAAAACCGGAAGCCTTGAATTAAGATTTTTTCTTCAGTTTGTCTTAGAAAAAGAAGGCTTTAAGGATTATTGTGAAATTTTGAAATTCAGGATATGTCCTAAAAGATTTACCCACGTAAAAGCCATAACAAGTTGTTGTCTTGCAATCTTGTATTGGTTTTAGAAATTAGAAAATTTCTTTTAGTGGCTATCCATTTTGACCACTTCTACTTATCATTTTCAACAAAATATTTAAAAGAATTGTACTAGAAGTTTCATCCTGAAAACAAATTTTAATTTTTAAAAAAGATAGGAATGGAGTTTGTAAGCCATGCATTAACAGAGGCACAGTTAACATTTAATAGGTCTAGTGTCGTCAAGGTCAAATATATAAAAATGTTAATTATGATGCTCTTATTGATTATTTCGGCAAAGTTCCAAAAATAAATGTTTATTGTAATTGTTTATTATTTATTAAAGCTGTAATTGCTGATTTGTCTACTAATTTCTGCTGTATGATAATCCTTACTTCATTTATTTTTATTTATTTATAGAAAAAGAAAGGCTTAGTTATTGCAATTAGGATACAATCGAACCGTTTACCCTTAATTTAATAGAGTAATTCAATCGAAGTGAATGATTCAAAATGAGTTCGGTTTTAAATGTCGGTGAAATGAACAATATGGATATATATCAGCTTTATAAGGCAAACGTAGTTTTTATACAATAACATATTCACTTTAACACTACCCAAACTTAACAAGTTGTCAATTTTTTTATCAATATTCTTTAAATTAGACTTTATATTAGCACAACAAATAAACAGAGAAGAACAACAAATACCTGTTTTGAATATATAAGAACCAGTCTAAAATTAAAACACAATTTGAGTGGTCAATAGGATGTGAGGAGCTCTGCAATATGGAGTGGCTCTAAATTAACAGGTAGAAATTGACTCGATGAGTTGATTATTTAAAAAGAAAACAGTTTAACAAATGTTATTCATTGTAAGATTTACGAATATATTTTGAAAAATAAAAATATCCTCAAAGAAATGCATTTGAAGAATGTTAAAACGTTACATATCAGCAGTACTCACATGCCTCAGAATGATTTATTTATTTACTTGTAACATAGTGCTCAGATATTCAAAACATGGCATCCGAATTAATTAAATAAAGTATTTAAAGGTAAGATAAATAAAATATAAATTGGATTAAGATAATAATACATTTAGTATTTTATATTTATCTGATAATTATTTCATTAACTAATTATTTATATATATTTTACCATTATATCAGAGCTAGCCCGATTATATCATGACTTTTGTCGGTTTGAAATAGGTATGTTGTTAAGACGATATGTTTTATGTCATTCTTGACAGGGAATCTTATCTTAGTTTGATAAAAAGAATTATACTCTATTAGATAAATATATACACTTACATATTAAATACGTATTGCAATTTAGTTCAGCATAGTGATTTTGGTTCTGAATGTTTTAGAATGTTGCCTCTTAAACTCTTCAATTTTTTTCTGTTTTGTTTTGTATTGTTTTTAAATTACTACACTTAAATAACATATTTTCCTTAGCAATGTATATAAAAATGATCTTTCGGAATCAGCAAAAACAACAAATTTATATAGAAAATGCAGAGTTGGTTTTATTAAGTCTGTTAATGATTGATAAAAAGCAGGACATCTTTCAAGCCCCTTAGCACCGGTTAAAGCTGTATCCAAGACGGTGAACAAATCATAAACATTTTGACATCATCATTTTCATGCTTTGCTATCTGATATAGGTCCGGACATGTCGGTTATCTTTATCATGAGCATTTCGTTGGTTTTAAATAACTTTAAAGTAATTATATCTTTAAATTCTCGACTTTAAAGAACATTTTTCCTTTGCCAAATTTTGATTTTTTGTGAACGTAAGCCTTTTAAATGTTTCTTGTTCACTTTTAAACCTGTTGTACTACTTTCTTTAAACGATAATGTTTGTCTTTTATATTTAATGACGCTTGATTTGATTTAGATTTTCATAGTAATTTAAATACGTTTTATCTTTTATAGAGTCTATTTCAGAAGTAAATTACATTTATTGCTTTAGGAAGAGATATTATTTTCATTTCTTTCGGATTTGTTTTTCTTAACAACTATTTATAGCATATTAAAGTACTTGCTAAATCAAATCTTATCACTAGCTTTGTTCATATCTATCTTTTCATAAAAATGTAACTACATGTATTTAAATTTGCTCTTTCCATTATGTCAAATGTTCTTGCATTACTGGGTAGACATTAGTTTTGTCTCAATCGTAACTATTATTATACAATCATATCTAATTAAAATCACCTCCCAAATACGTACAACTCACTTCGCTTTATGATCTGACAGTCAGCAATAGGATGTCACCTCGGATGTTTAAGTCAATCAGTTGTCGTTAAAAGAAGGAATCACTTTCTCTGCTTTTACCAAAAACGTGTACGTGATTTTCACGACTTTTAAGTTTATTTTTATTGTTCTAGGTCTGCCTACTAGTATATTGGTTTCTTTGAACGTGATTTTTTTCTGTAACTCTGATATACGTAGTAGATGGAATAGTCTATAAATAGTTCATGTCATTACAAAAATCTAGTAACAAATTGATCCCTCGGAAGCATTAATCACAACAAAATTACATAAGAATTGCAGACTCGGTTTGATTGTGTCTGTACATGAGGGATAATTAATAAGTGCAACATCCCTCACGCCCCCTAGCACCGCCTTGAACAGTACAAGAACGTAATGCTTAAACAATCATCATTTAAAGACAAATATGAGAATAAATTGCATCTTTATTCTTCCATTTTTAGCTATAGACGACATTCATTGTAGCAACAAAATACAAAAAGAAAACAGCAAAACATTTGTTTAATAATCATGAAAGTAAATTGACCTTTTTACAATACGATTCTTCCACAGTAATGGATGTTTCATTACGTGCATGTGCATTCTGCGTAGGGCAAACATGCAATAACGAAAAACTGCAATTTATCATTAAAATACATTATTTCGAGTTATATCATCTAGAAAATAGTAATTTTGGAATGACTTAAAGCTGTCAGTATTTAAAACGTGAATTGATATATTGAGCCTGATTGGCTGTTTAAAAGATCACGAGAAGGTGACAACCTATTGGTGATCGTCAGATCCTAATGCGTAGGGTTATTTATGAGATGATTTTGATCAGATTGCAACGAACCGCGTCGTAAAAAGGTCTTTAGTAAAAATCAGATTAAAAAAACACCATTCTCGCTTTTATTTGACAAAATTATTATATTTGTGTCACAGCGGACGATCACAAGTTTTATATTAATTGCCGTAGGGTACTTTCCTTCTTAAAAGATGTAAATGAACTTTGCAATCTCACCAGATTAAGAATAAAAGGATCATATCATATATACCTTCTGGTCAAAAACTTTTTTATTCATGTGACGTTTTAGTGAAATTATTTAGCTATATGTATAATACGAGTACTTATAATCAATTACAGATTATCTATTTGATAATTATTCATAGAGTCATTTCATTGTTTATCAGATGCATATCATCCTTTGATTAACAAACACGTATGAAGAATTACTTAAAAGTATGTAAATTGTAAAGCAACGTTTCGGAATTGAACATTATTTCATATTTTAAGTTTAACCTTTGCTTAAGACGGTGCTAGGGAGCTTGAATTGTTATTGGCATTTACCTCTACTTTCTATGGACAGGCTACTATAACATTTCAATTTTGCATATAATAAATATATTGCCTTGTTCGGCTTTATTTACGGGTTTCCATTTATCTCTTTCAACATATGATTTAAACTGTATTATAGTTATTAACATCAAATGTACTGCCAAGGTATAACGAATAACTAAAATTTACGTGATAAAACGGTGATAAGTTTTATGTTCATCCCTTATTGTTATGAAAAACTGATACCTAAATAGAGATTTTGAAATGTACAGCAGCAACATGAACATGAAAAACAAAAACAACAACATAAACATCAACAACATTTACAGCAATAATAACATGAATAACAACAACATTTACAACAACATTAAAAACAACAAAAAAACAACAACAATTACAACATCATCAACAACAACAATAATAATAACAATAACATTTAAAACAACAATAGCAAGACCGACAATAACATAAAAATTAACTTAAACAACAACATTAACAGCATTACCGAAAACAACAACAGGACATTTACAACAATAAGCAAACCATCACATTATACATATTCTCATAACTTACATTATCAATTTTGAAATCATTTCATCATCACTTTAGAAATATTTATTTCAAAACTTATCAAAGTCAAAGAAAAAAATCAACTTAAAATGGCTCTGAAGTTTGCGACCAATAGGTTAATACTCGTCACAGAGGACAATTAAATGTTTTAAAGTAACCGCCTTTGGGAACTGTCCTGATTTCAGGACACACATATGACACTTGAGTAATACTATAACCGCTATATGAATATAAAAAAAATAATAATATTACACCTTTAGGATAACAGCTGGTTCATTTCTTTTCATCAACAGATCGAGTTAAGGTGAGATTAAAGACACACAATGAAATATAAATATCAACAATTATTAAGATAAAGTTGTCAATTATTGATATGGTCTTTTCTCTTTTGATCATACATGCCTTACTCTTTTTAATGTACAAATGTAATTTGTTGTTTGCCTATTATTGGTGTTGTTGCTGTTGTTGTTTTGTCCTTTGTTTGTTATTGTTGTTATTGTTGTTGTTTTTTGTTGTTGTTGTTGCTGTTTTTTCTTGGGACAGGGTATTTGGTGACGGGAATGAATGTATAGGTTTCTTTCGGGTTGGGGTGTGAACTGTTTTATTTTGGGGGAAGGGGTTTACTTGTATAAATTGTTTAATATTTTACCATCAGCCATTTATCACA